ACAAGGAGAGGAGAGAGAGAGGTGAGAGAGAGAGAGAGGAGAGAGGAGAGGGTGAGGGAGTGTGCACACCTGAGGAGTGGGGAGGGTGTCTGTGGTGGGCTGTAGTCATACAACGTGGTTAAAACCACGCGCCCCTCAGGAGCTTAAGGTAGAGTGGAGCGTCCCAGACGCCTCGGTGCCTCCCACCGGGTGAGACCATCCGGATCAATCTGCCGCGCCCTCCGTACGCAGCAGTCCCCGCGATGGCCCACGGTCCGCCGTCACCAGGTTGAACCCCCTCCCCCCCCAGTCCTCGTAGAGTCCATCATGAAATAAACTCAAAGTCCACCACAGCCACCAGCCTCCACCTCCACCGTCGAGCCGCGATCACTGCCGCCCGCGACGCCGCCCGCCGCGTCAGATGCCCGCGACGCCCGCGTCGAGTCGAGTCGGAGAGCCGCGCCGCACCAGCGCAGCATCTGCACCAGCATCAGCAGCAGCATCAGCAGCAGCAGCAGCACACACACACACACACACACACACACACACACACACCACTCGCGAGCCGCCGCCGCTGCCTCCCGCGACGCCGCCCGCCGCGTGAGATTCCCGCGACGCGCGCGTCGAGCCGAGTCGGTGAGCCGCGCTGCACCAGCAGCAGCATCAGCACCAGCGGCAGCAGCACCACCACCAGCAGCACCACCAGAGAGAGGCCATGAAATCATCAAATTTCGAGGTTGCCCGAGATAGCCCGGAAATGGTCCCGCGCTGTTGCCCCGGTGCTGGCGCATCACGCCTCGGTCGCGATGGGCCGGCTCCGCCGCTCAGTCGAGCAGCAGGAGCTCTGGCACAGGTTTGTCGACAAACTGGTCGAGCAAAAAATCGGCGAGGAAGCGGCACCGGCGGCACGCCGGGACGAATCCGGACCGATCACATTGTTCGGCACCGCGGCGGCGAGCCGCCGCGAGCCCACAGGAGAGCTGGGCGCCGCGGCACTAGACCGCGCCGCCAGCGAGGCGAGAGCAGCAGCCGACGCCATGGCAGTTGCAACGGCGGGAAAACACACACACACACACACACATAGATGTATTAGAGAGAGGGGGGGGGGCTGGAAGGGAATAGAAGAAGAAGAAGAAAACCAGACCGGTGCCGAAGCAGTGCCACCCATTGTCAGAAATGTTGCGGTCGGCGTGTTCGGCCAGGGCAGCGCTGAGAGTGCCGCTCCTCCGGCGCCGCCTGCTGAGCACGCGCACCGAGTCTGACGCCTTTGGTCCCATTGAGGTCCAGCCCGGGCTGCCATTTGCCTCTCGCACCACTGGCCTCGCTCTCAGCGCACGCCGCGTGCACCATCGTCACTGCCTAGCCATCACTCACACCGGCTTCTCTCCGCCTTTCTAGGTGTCCAACGATGTGCTGTGGGGAGCACAAACGCAGCGTTCGCTCCAGAATTTTCCAATCGGTGGGTCTGCGGCTGTGATGCCGGAGCCTGTCATTCGAGCGTTTGGCGTCCTCAAGAAGTGTGCCGC